GCCCTCGCCGTCGAATCCAATCCCATTTTCAGAGCTGCCCAGAATGTTGATGTCGTTGGTAGGGCTGATTTTGTGTATCTCAAGGGCTCCTCCGCGATTTCTTCCACGCTTCACGGCGCTTCCCTGCTCCTCCGGTTGTCATCGAATTGGGATTGGTTTATACGTCTCACCGCCGATGATTACCCACTTGTCAGACAAGACGGTATGGTTTCTTGAAAATTACATTTGGGATTGAAGATTTTTCGAGAATTTTGTTGATGGGTGGTCTTCTTTGGGTTTCTCAGATCTTCTTCACATCCTATCATTTCTGCCCAAGGATATGAACTTCGTAACACATTCAAGTTACATTGGCTGGAGAGAGTAAGATAATCTCTATTTCTCAGATTCAATGCTTTTCAAGTTCCAACTTCTTGTTCTGGGTTTCGTACAACTTTTTCTGAACTGCCAACTCTTGTTGTTGTTATGCTGTCGAAAGGGCTAGGAAATTGAAGCCAATTATCGTTGATCCAGGGCTTTATCTTTCTGAGAAAACTGCCATGTTCTATGCTACCCAAAAGAGGGAATTGCCTAATGCCTTTCAATTGTTTACAGGTAGGCTTTTTTTAGTACTTCCCATTTGACTGCTGCTTAAATCTTCAGATCATAATTATCTGTGAAACTTCAATTGCTTGTGGATAATGGGGTCTAACTTGGGATGTTGCAAATTTGGTCATGAAGTAAAGGTATCGTTAAGAGAAAAGTTTCAGAAGATGGGGATTTTGGGTCCACTCCAAGAAGGCTATAAAATCCATTCGTATTGTTAATTCTAGATTTTCTCTCAACAACACTTTCTTAGACTACATATCTGCATTTCTAGCTTTGCTTAATGGTGGTGGCTCTGATGTGAAGCTGTCTATCTGTAGTTTTAGTTCTGTTCTTCTTCTTCTTCTCTTTCTCTCCTCTCCCTCTCTCTGTTTTTCTTTTCAAGCGTCAAATGGCAATTGGAGAGCATTTTTGTAGTTCCTTCGACTTAAAAATGGTGATTCCCTAGACTTGGAAATGGCCTCCTTGTGTGATGCTCTTTCCACTTTGATGCAGTGTTTTAATATCTCATGGTATTGTCTGTCTTTTCCATTAGAGAGGGAGAGAGGAGAGAGAGAGACGAACTTGTGGGAATTGTCCATCTTTTCATTTTATGTTATCCAAGACTGAGATATTGAATCCAACATTAATGTTGATAGTCAGTTATGCATATTGGTTTAAACTCTAATGTTCCCTCAAACTAAGCCCTTTTCTCTTGTGATCTTGATCGTAATCAAGTAAACAATTATCTGTACTGACACTGGAGATCTTCCCCCACTGTTCTCTTCTTCAGGTTCTTCTCTTTCAATTCTGAGTCGACGTGTTGTCGAGTTCTGCATCTTGGGAACGGATAATTTTCCGAGGACTCTGTTGATGTACTTCGCAAATACGCAATCTAGCCACTTGAACTATTTTCCAACTGTCCTCTGTAATTCTCGTCAGTTCAACAAGACAGTACTGAACGATAATCTACTATATGCCACATTCGACAGCCCTCCTAAAGAACAGCCCCAGTTTCTTGGCCCCAATGATTTTGATCTCATGATTGAGAGCGGAGCAGCCTTCGCCACAAGATTTAAGTTGGACGATCCAGTGCTCGACAAGATCGATAATGAGATATTGCATCGTGGTCCTGGACGTACTGTGCCTGGAGGGTGGTGCTTGGGGGAACCTGGAAACGATACATGTATGGTATGGGGAGATGCAGATGTAATTAGACCAGGAATAGGAGCAAGAAGACTCGAAAAACGAATCGTTGGATTGCTTTCGAATGGTACATTTCGAACGAACAGGTGTGTAGTTGTTGAATAATTCTTTACAAATGAACATCCCAATAGTAAAAAAGAAAGGGGTGGGGATGCAATTTGTGGCAATTGGCTTAGCCATCTCGATTGATATTCTTTAGCCTTCAGAGAGTTTTAGGTCATCTAGTTGTTACCGTTGCATTTCAATCATATTACAAATGACATCTTATATATACCATAATGAATGTTAAAGTCACCCATTTAGGATATTAGATCATTTTTCAAATTTTAGAGACATCTTATTATGGATGATTGTCTTGTAAAACTAGTTGAAGGGTTAAAAGAGGTTAATGCTGGAAAAAATAGTAAAAGATTTGATATAAAGGAAAAAAAAAATTGCTAGGTTCACACAAGTCCAAGTCTAGAGTTGCAAATTTTGAATCGGTGTATTCTGTATTTGTAATAATTTTGTAGAATTTATTAAGTCTAGAAATTAATAAATTTGTAACCTATTTGAGATAAATAATTGTTAATTTACCAATTTTGTCTTTGAATTTTTAAATCATGTTTGAACTTTTACAGTAGACATTCTTTTTTTAAACCAAGAGATCTATTAAATCCAAATTTAAAAGCTTAATATAGCACTTTTAAGAGTTCTTAAAGAACCTATTATACCATATGGTATTTTAAACTTAAAAGAATAAATTAAATACTAACATTAAAATATCCCTGTTAAATACAACTTTAAAAGTTCTATTAGACAATTTTGGAAGCCCAAGAATCAAATTCGTAATTTAACCTGAACAAAATCTATATCAAATATAGGCACATTAAATCAACCAAATAAGCATTTATTCTTGAAAATCTTTTTAACAATAATGACTAAAACTAGACCAACTGGATAGTTCGTCGGTCCCTCTAAAGGAACATGGGTAGTTCATTTGTGAATTGAGAGGTTATGATAAGCATCTGCTTTCAAATTAATTTCTATGTGTTTTCCGACACCAAATATTATAGGATCAAAGCGACTGTCCTGTGAGATTAGTCGAGATGCACGTAAGTTACTCTAAACACTCACGAATATAAAATAATAATAATAATAATAACCACTGACACTAGACATGGAGTTGGCAAGTCATAGGTTTACCACTAGGGCATCACTCAATCTTTTTTGAGTGGAAAACACGATTAAGAGAGAGCAGAGAAAAAGCAAACAGATAACAACTAGAGAAGGACAGGGCACATTTCCCATTTGAAATACAACAGTGAATGTATTTTATTGGCAAAAATCTAAATTTCACTACGTACCGTTTGGGAAAAATTGTTCATGACAAGCACACAAAATCTGAATTCTGAAGCCTGTGAATAATAATAAGATATGATACGTTTCCGAGGGAAAGTTAAGCCACTTTCTTCCTTTACTCTCTGTGGCTACTAGCGTCAGGTTTCCGAATGGCATCGGCTTGCTTGGCAATGGGGCATAGAAGAAGTCGATGTCGTGCGATCGGAAGAACAGTGTCAGAAAACTCCAAAGAATGTTGCTACTGCAAAAATTAAGAAGAGTGCACCACCCAAGTAGCCGACCTGATTGAAGGTAGAGTTAGTTGTTGCATCAATGATTCATAAAGCAAATAGCGCATTATATGAGAGAGAAGTTCAGGCTCATACCAGTTTTTCAGAAATGTAGTTGGCAAGAAATGCTCCTCCCAGAATGGCAATGGTAGTTGCAATTAGGTGCCCAGTAATAGCTCCCGTGGCCACACCCCATGGAGACTGTAGAGTGGACATTGAAAGAGAAATACATGGTTGAAAGCAAAAAAAGGGGAAAAAAAAGGAAAAGGAAGAAGCAGAAGAAGTGAAGACTCTGTTTTGCTTCTAAATGTAGAAAATCGCACCTGTGCAGCTCCAAGTGCAATGGTTGCGAGCATTGAGCGATCACCCCATTCCTAATATCAACAGAATATTTCAAACTTTGAGTACTTGCAAATGGGATTCTTTTAATGTAAACATATACTCGTAAAATCATAAGAGCTTGGGGGGAAGACTGTCCCTAGGAATTGTTTCATTCTAAGTTGACGAACCAAATACGATATTCATTCATGTCTATTTACAAATATGATGCGAAGTTAATAGCCAGAGGGTGTATGTACATGCTTAAAAGAAAAGTACTTAGGTGCTCATCGATGAGCACCTAAGTATTGTTTGATACGTAACTCCTCAACGAACTTCCCCTCCTATTATGAATTTTCCACACACGAAAATAATAGGCTTTCATCGTACTTTTCTGCTGAAATAGTGATGATTAAAAATTACTCACGGCAAAAAATATAAGGCTGAACGACTTCCAGATGATTTCAAGGGGATTCGAGAGCTGTTTTGAAACCTGAAAACAATCATTTAAGCTTTATCATAAGGTACTTGCATGTAAGAGGTGGACAGTCAGAAAGGGTATGTGTCAGTCACAGAGTCAGACAAATATGAAATATACTGCTTGAGACAATTTAGCAAAGAAGCAATACTTCAAGACAAAATTAAAAAATTTAAGGAAACAACCTAGAGAAAACTAACAACTGGGGATCTACCTTTTCTTTAACAAGCTCCTCTGCCTCGGCATATTCATCGAGTTCTGGGCCACTCTCATTACCATGTTTAGGAACACTAGCGGGAAGATCCCATGCATCTTTAATGGATTTGATACCAAAGAAAAATAGAAGAGTTACTGCTGCATATTCCCCAATTGGTAAGGCTACACAAATGACAGCGAGTAAATATCGTTAGGATTTGGGACCTAAGATTATGCATAGAAGAACTGAAGAAGTATTATTCATTATGAATGGGAAAGTCAAGTATATAATCGAATCTTTTAATAAACAAAAATCGCATCAGTTTCAACAATAAAGCTAATATCATATACCAGTACACATGGATTATGTTGCTGATGTCTCAGCAGAATCATATCTAGTACAACATAAAGAAAGAAGGGCCAAATTTATTGTCCTCACGGGGAAAGAAGCAGGAATAGTGGATATATTGATGGATATTTGAGACCAAAAAAAAAAAAAGGAGGAAGTTGTTCAAGAATTATGGAAAACATAAACTACATTAGTAGTTCTGTAATATAGCCAGATAAATCGCAAAAAGCAAAAACTATACTAATCAGGAATACACTAGCACACAACATGCTCTTCGTTTTGGTTAAAGTCAAAATTGACGCAAAGTCTAAAGTAGTTGAAAAAGTTAGAGCAGCTTCAGCTTACTTGTCTGGAACTGAGCAGGTACTGAGTGAAATATTCGTCCAATTATAACTGAGAGGACTGTCATAAGTGAAAGTGCTCCCATAGATCCTAACAGAACCTGCTCAACAACTCAATATACCTGAATAGAACTTTCAATTCCCAACCCACAGAATCAAGCCATAGAGAACAAAAGAAAAAGAAAAGAAGAAAGCATGGTACAACTGAAAAAATACTTAACCACAGAGAAAGAGAGAGAGGGTGAGAGAGGTTATACCAGTCCTTTCTTATATTGCATGGCCAAGAGTGCAGCAATGAAAAATGTCTGTCCAAAAGAGATGAGATATAAGCTGACATTACCATCATAATTCCAAGGGACTGTGATATTAAGAATGCTAGGAAGAGGAAGTAAAGCCACAAAACTGTAAACATTTTGAAAATTGTGAATAAATTGGTTACTTCACTTGATATTCGTTGAATTTTAATGTGGTTAGTTAAACAAGGTCAAATTTCAAGCTTCCAATCTTAGTTATTTAAATTGTTATGTTTTCATTGATCTCTATCTTCTTCTATGAATTATGTGGTTATGGACAGTCCTCCTACCAATCCTTGACGGAATCTCAGGTTTGATCAATAAAATAGAGTGATTCACTAATAGAACCAACCAGTGAAATGATGAAAAGAAGATACATGTAACCAAGCCCCTAGGCCTAGAAGATAATAGAGACAATATTCCAATGTAAAAAAGTCACCTTGTCACCAATTTCAGAGACAAATATTAATGAGAATGCAGCAGTGAATCCTGACTTCGCAACTGCTGCTAAGATTGATGAAGGCCCTCCTTTCACAAAGGCAATCAGCGAGAAGACTAAACTGCATCCAAATAGTACTAGCGCAATAGAAAGTGGATAAGGCAATCCATTTGGAGACTTCTCACTGCCAAAACATAGAAGATATATAAATGAGTCAAGAAGAAGATGAAGAGATATTGGTTCATACGAGAGCTCCAAATGTGTCCTGGACTCGCTAAATTGCAAAGTAGGCAACAGAATCAGTTTTACCCAACAGATTTTAGAAGTAAGATGTCGTTGACAACATCACCTCAGTGGAGCAGTGAGCACGATTACAGGGAAAAGTTAATAGGTTTATTTTACAGGCAACTAGTAGAAGTGTTAAGGATGAATAAACCACCACTCAACCCAAAAATTTAAGCTCATGGTTTGGGTAAATTTAATTCATTTATTAGATATCCAATAAGAAGCTCACACTAACTTTATGATGTGGCGTATTTTTATTGGTCGGTCTATTTCTATTGCTGCATCTAAATATGTTGTTTTATCCACTGAGACAAAAGCACTGTTTCAAATGAAGAACCACTAATAAGAAAAAAGCCATCGATTTATATTCAAGGGAGTGCGATGAATAAGGCGGATTCAGCCTGAAGAATCTTTTATAATAGAAATGAGTTGATCCTACTCTACTAAACTTTTTGAGCAGCTGAGAATATGCCACACTCCTTTGTACCAAGTGTTATTCTGTCAAAACTACAAATTGAATTGAAGTCTCAATAGCATTTTGATTTAAAATAATATTAAAAAATTTATTATTAGACGGACGTTCGATTTCGTAACCTTCCCTAGCTGGAAAATCGATTTGGTCTATAGAATGCATTTCACCATCAAAATTCAAGGTTAAATGTATCATAATTCATACCCAAGCCCTAGTCACAGAAATCGAAATTTTAACGCATCACCAATAAGTTTCAGTTTCAACTATGAAAAGTCAAAATAAAAAATGACGTAACTTACGTTTTAGAGGAACTACTATCTGCAGGCGCACTACTGGAAATTACATGCTGGTCCTCCTTTTCCTCCTCGTGCTTGTATCCATCGGATCCGATGCTTACATTCGAAGAATGTGCCCGGAGTTCACCAAACGTCCCGCTCAATCTCGTTACTCTTCTGCATCTCTCTGTAAGCAACATACTCATCACTCGCCCAATATGATTAATAAAATTAAGACAGTTAACGAAATAATCGTTCGTCAATTAGTAGAAGAAACCCTCAAAGAATCAGTTCCATTACACTATGAGTAACTAATCTTACTTATCATGCACAGTGTTCGGGAATTGCAATTCAAAACTAAAAAAGCTGAAAATTCGAAAGAAGCGGAGGAAATGTAAAAGAAGATTACGCGATGTTGATACAGTCTTTCCAGGTACACTGCCAGAAGCAGAACAACTTGGCAAAGAATCGAGCAAAGGCGAGAAGGGAAGCTTCTTCCCTCTTGAAACGAACGGCGACTGAACCACCAATCCCTGCATTTCTCGTTCCCTTTTCCTTCCTATAACTTCATTTCTGCCCTACTGCAAACCATAATTCTCGCCGGCCGGCCGGCGGCGGTGGGACCGGGAAGAAGCTGCGAAAGTGAAGTTAAATCTCCACCAAGAATCCGTATAGGAGTGGGAGAGAGCTTGAGCTGCTGAGTTCCGAAGATTGCCACGTCGCAGTTGGAGAGATAAAATGGCAAGCCTGTCTCGGATTTGTAAAACCGAGCCTTGAGAAAACTGAACTTCTATGATACGACGTCGTTTCGACTGAGACCCTGCCCAAACTGTGGCATGGCAACCGCATTAATTGGTCTAGGCCCAATCAGTAATCCGGCCCATCATGTAAGATAATGGGCCTGGGCTTTATACAGGCCGTCCTGAATGGTGGATGGCTCACTTTCTTTTCGGCCCGTGAGCCACATTTAAATTTGGGCTATATTAACATCATATAAAATATAAATATACATATATATAATTTTTTTTCGTTGGTCAAATTATTACTATATTTCACAAATAGCATGCCTTTTTTTCAATATTTTCAGTTTTGGATTTTGAAATTTTTTTTTTTTTTTGTTTATTTCCAAATTTCTCTCAATTATACTTCAGTGAATTTTAGATTTTCAATTTTTAAGTACAACGAAAATAGGGAGAAGATTGGGGAAGATTGAACCTTCAATTTCAAAACATAAAATTGGTGTCTTATATGAGAATTATGTTCGTAATGGCTGAATTTAAACTTTGAATTGAATTAGAAAACACAGGAAACAGAAATTACCTTAATTTTATTTTGAGTACAACAAATGGGGGTGGGGGATTCAAATTCATGACTTATTGGTCAGGGAAAAATAATTTAACGCTGAACTAAATTCGTGTTATTGAAATTACCTTAATTTTTTGATTTTTTGATGTATGATTGAGACAACCAAATGAATAATAAATTGTAAATAAAAGGACTATTTGATATAATTTCCATAATGAGTGACTATTTTAGACGTTTAATGTGGCATTTTTCTAAAGCCATAGTCATGAGGTAAAGCATGGTTGGAATTTGTTATCCAAATAAGAAATCATGACATTATAAATGGGTTGGTGAACAATTTGAAATTGGATTAATTAACAAAATCAAAGCATCTACAAATTGGTTAATTTATTTATTTCCCATTCCATCTGTGAGCAACTTATAAAGCTAGTGGAATCAAGAAAATTAGAAAAGGAGTATACATGTTTGAATTTAATATGGATAACATTTCAAAGAAAAAAAAAGTTGAAATTGTCTTCTGCCTCGACATCATGAAATAACTTTTTTAAACCAACACTTCAAACGTGAGACGGTACAAATTAAGATTCTCCAATTCAAATTTATTAGAACCACAAATATATATATATATATTTTTTTAAATTTATTTTCAAAAGTTACTTCTCATGGTTCATCCCGGGATGAAAAGGGGAAATTTTAAGGTAGTTAAAATGGGTGGATGTCTATTTGTTCAATTAAAAAAAAAAAATATCTTATCCCCGATTTTTTTCCGTGTTTCAGAATACGGTTAACCAACATGTTAACTAATCGATTACGATAAATTGGATCGGATTTTGCAATTTTAAAGTAATATACACCCACTAATACTCAGTATTCACAGATTGAACTCGATTGAGTTAAAATACTTTTTAGACATGGGTTCATATTTAAATTTATTCAACCTAAATAATTCTTATATAATGAATTTAACCCAATTCAATTATAAAATATTTTAGTTAAATTGATTCGGATCATCTGAATCATCCATTCAAAATATTGTATAACAAAAAAAGAATAAGAATTAATATCTTAAATATTTATCTCCGTATTTTTTAGAGACTTAAACAGGGACAGCTCACAACATAGTTGTGCTGGCGGGATGTGTGGTCAGTGCAACACCATTATTATGTTTTGCAAATGCTCAATCCCTGCCTTTTCTTCAATCTTTGGGTTTTGATGGAAATTTACTCCCACTTTTTGTTTTCATTTTCTTTTTTGCCTTTTCAAAAATGACACAATTATGAAAAATAACTATTTTCTTTTTTGGAACATATTGTTATAAATAAATGAAATTGTGATTCAAAATTTGAATTTTCAGTTTAAATAATTTTTAGTGATCGTAGTCCCAATTTTAGTTCCTTTTTTAATTCAATTTTTTCAAAAATATCTATTTTGATATTTTTACTTTAAATCTGATTCATTTTTGTTCTTATATTTTAACAAGTCCATTTATTAATTCTTTTCAAGAGATTATTTTGGTTTCTATTTACATCATTTTCTTAATTATGAGCCAATAAATAAAGATATAATAACTTCAAACTAACCAATTACAGATTTACCCCAAAAAAAATTAGAAATTATTCTATAAAACAAGCTGCCAAGCAACATTTAGTGAGAAGCATGATTCAAGGTTTCTTCAAAAGAAAGGTTGCACAATTGGATTAAGACTTCCACTTTGTAGAACAAAATTAGTTGTAAACCTAAACAAGATATCTTAGAAGGGAACTTAGTCAAAATCATTCTAGAATTTTTTCTTACTGACTTGCTTATCAACACAATGGGATCCAAATCATTTCCAATAGATTTTCTTTACAACCTTTTAGCTTTTTTTCCCCTATTGAGTTCAACAGTCGTGGGATAAGAGATTAAACTTTTGGGACGGTAATAAATGACTTATTCACTTAGTTATGTTTAGATTGACTCGAATAGATGGTAGAGTAATGAAGACACTAGTTCCTTCCATATTTTGGACCTTAGCTCTTTGCTAAGGGGGGCTAAAAATCCATAAATTATAAAATTTTGTACCTTCTTTTGTCTCGGTCCATGGTCTAAATGAGTCGCACATATACCCTGGGATCGATAAACTTTTTGTATATAGGAGAAATTTTTGGTATTTGGATATTATTTGCATAAATGATTTGGTCAAACCATAAATTTATTTATATCAAATTTTATTCGGTCTCTAAATTTTTTCAAGGTCCTTTTCTTTTCAATGTGGGAACCTTAACATGTCCTCTTAAGATCGTGGCTCTTTTAGCTCATCGATCTTGGCCGGATCCCATTTTTGGACCGAATGCCTTGTTTGAGTTGGGCTCTGATACCATATTAATATTCATGTGGTTTCATCTGAAAACCAATTAGCAATGATAGGAGTARCTCATGTCTATTATAAATCATTGTATTTCAACGTGGGATCCTTAACCGTCTCTAACCTTTAAGTAGAAATTATTTTGGCTCATTGCACGCATTTAACATAATTATTAAAAAACAGTAATGTCTTTTATTATCTATCTCTAAATACAATACCTCACTTGATACAGATTTAAAACACAATTTCCTATCACATAAATTTTAAACTTTACTTCTTTTTTTACTATTCTCACTATTCTTTTATATGGTTAAACGCTAAGTAAAAACACATTAAAAAGAGGTTATTGGTGTGTTAAACAGTTGAGAGTCTGAATTGGTCATTTATTTAATATATTTTATAAAGTTGTAATGTTATGATTTTTTTAAAAAAATAAAATAAATAAACTTTGAAAAATATTATCCAAAAAAGAATAAAATAAATAAATAATCTCACATCATATTGTCTCTCTCTTTGGAATTAAAAAAATTGTAGGCACGTGGGTGGGGAAAGAGGAACAGAAGACTTTGACTTTTGTTGTCATGTAGATATAGCCCTCTTGTCACAAAATGTTAATATTCTCCCTCTAGATTGTCCTCTTTCTCTCTCTCTACATATCTTATAATTTGATTCTCGATTTTAATAGGTCTGGTTCATTTTAAAAATTTTACTTTATTTTCGTTGGAGAGCAAATATGATCTATCACTTGGAGAAACAAGAAGAGAAGGTCCCACGTAACCTTTCCTCGATAAATTCGGACACGCATAGTGGCCAATCTATTCAGCTTGGACAGAGCAGTATCAAATAGCTCGGATAAATTAAACCACTAATGGCCTTGATCAAACTAGATGTTGAGGAGTCTCTCTCAACCGTTTATAACCACATAAATCTTTATGTGGGACCCACAAATTTGTTCCCGTAAATAGGAACTCATTGTCATACGTAGGGATTCCTCGACTTAAGAGCATATAAGCAGGATTCTTGCTTATTTAAGCGTCAGAGTGTATTTTCTTTTGTACATGTTCTCCATCACGAAGCTCGCTCCATATGGTTTGGTCTTATTCCACCTCACACGTGCTCTCGAGGTAGTTCAGGAGTTGATGTAAAAAGTTTTGTTTCTAAATTGTACAGAGAAATAAGCCAAAAAGACGTTTGAGTCTTGATTTTAATAAGTTTGAATTTATAAAATTTGAGACTATAAAGCTTGTTTGTATATAATTTGTTACTAGATTATAAGTAGAGAGAAATAGGTTATACAAATTGGAGTTATGTAACCAATGTTAAGGATTTGTAAATAGTTTGGGATTAGCAAATCCATAGTTGAAAATTAAAAGTTCTGAAAATTTAGTTTATTAATACTTGAAATTTTGCAAGCATTTCAAACAGAATCTTGACAACATGAGAAAATCGTTATTAAATATACATATTTGAAAGACAGATAAGAAAGCAAAAAACAGCTAAGGTATTCATTTCAATTATTACCATTTCTTAATTTTCACAGCATAAAACCTTGTCCTGCATGTTGTATTTTCTTAAAATAATTTTAAATTTTTAATGAAATATTCATTTTTTAAAAATATTAACAAAATTGTCTTCTATAATATATGGCCAACTTAACTTATCTACTTTCTCATAAATATTTGTTTCTTTTCATGAATAGTAATTTATTTCATGAAATTTTTCACCACATGGTTTAAAAAAATATGATTTTATTTTATTTTTTTAATGGATATCACTTTTGATTAGAAAGTTGAAATAAGATAGGCTTGAATTTATCAAATTGAAAGCTACAAAATCTAATGGGAGAACAAAATAGATAGAAATAAAGAATGTAATGGTCAATTCATAGCCTTCATTAATTTTCCTCCAACCTAGGCCCATGAATGTAATGAATTTGTGGTTGGGGGGCATGGGATGAAAATGGATATGAAAATTCCATTTTCTTTGACTCTTTTTTCCCCCCCTAAAAGATCAATCTTGGAGAAATATATATTATTTTTTTAATTCAAATGTTTATATATGGATAGATCTAAATAGATGAACATATTTGAAA